AAGCTAATAGGAACCCATACTGGGCTGGCATGCGGTGGAAGACCTGCCTAACGTGGTGAGCGGCGGAGCCACATACCAGGTGCACCGCTGGGGGCTGAGAGGCTTGCTACTTACTAGCACTGGCTCTCCTGGCTCCCATGGACTCTGGGTAGCGTACTCGGGGGAAATCGTTGGCCGTGAAAAGGGGCCGAGTAGGAAGGCGCGCTGAATGTTCCAGCGCCTTACTGAGTGGGGAATTGCTCCCGAGAATGGTCTTCTGAGGCGGCCAGCGCTGGCAGGTTCGCGGAAGTGTGCGAAAGCGAAAGAATCATATCTGTTCTGTGGGAGTCACACTTAAATATTTTTTTATTCTGTTTTTTAGTATATGTTGTTATAGCGGTAACAGAAATACGTCGCTGGCGAAAATTTCAACTGTCTAACTATAATGGTTCATGAGATAGAGCCTGGTGACAGATGGACAGACAGACTGCTGAGTCTTAGTAATAAGGTCCCGTTTTACCCTTTGGGGACGGAACCCTAAAGAAGTAAGGAAATTAAACATCCCGTCGTAAAAGGAGGGTCGGGACGATTGGTAAGAAGTGAGTCGCCGACGCTTCAAGCAGCCCTATAATCGGATTGGATGCGGTCATAGCTTGTATTTGAGCGCCCCAGTCCAGAGATAAGCCCAATTTGGGCTTTGTAAAGCTGCAGGCGAACTGAGGGCAGGAAATACTGTATCGGTCTATCCAGGGCGCCAAGCTTTTTAAGAGCCAGTTTGGTTTTCTCTTCCAACTGACCGAAAAATTTACTTTTCGCTGTTTTAAATGACTTGAAACCCATACTAATATTATAAATGCGAAAGTAACTCTGCCTGTCTGTCTCGCTTTCACTCCAAAAATTGACATGAAATTTGGTAAACAGATAGTCTAGAGCCTGAGAAAGGACATAGGCTATTTTTAATTGGAAAAAGTTTTGTAATGGGTTGAAAGATATTTTTATTTAAGGGCTTCAACGCGAGCGAAGCCGCGGGCGAAAAGCTAGTTCTGTATAATTTGATACATAGGTATGTATATATTGTACTACATGTAGTATTTGCTAGTGATTTTATGCAGTAGCAAAATACGCAGTCGTTACCAGATAATTTCCAGATTAAAAACAATCATTTTCATCTCTAATATTTTCATTACATGTTATATATATATATATATATATATATATATATATATATATATATATATATATATAAAGATTGATTAGCCACATTGCCAAGATACGATTTTTTATCGAAGTAAAATTTCTTTAGTCGCTGAGGTCGACTGAGGTGTAAGCCATTGAATAAAAGTTGTTGCGGTTGCGGAAGTGAGTGTCACGGAAGTTAATGTCACGGAAGTGAGTTACACTTCCTTATAGCGGAAATAAGATGTATCGGGAATATTGAAAAAAATAAGGCCGTCAGAATATATATATAAATATATGTACTATATATTTTAATATCAATAAACCAATGACATTGTTAACTTTGCGTGCTCAGCGGTGAAGGTAAACATCGTGAGGAAACCTGCATATTTTCGAAATAATAAGAAAAAAAAATTTCGAAGATATTTGAAGTCCGCCAACCCGCAGTGCGGCCGCGTGGTTGACTATGCCCTGATACCCTCTGTACAGAGGAGGCCATTGCCCAACAGTGGGACATGTATAGGCTGATACTTAACTTTTTCTTAATGATTTTAATAAATTCTAATGCTTATAACAAAGGTGTATACTTATTATGAATAGTTTTTTATAAAAGATTTTGTTGAGAAAATAAATGAAATAATCAAAGTAAAGTTTAACTTCAACCGCATGCTCTTTATTTTCCTCTTTTAACTGTGGTAGGGCCACGCAACAGTCTTCGCTGTTACAAGAGCCCGGTGTGAAGTGGAAGAGTTATAACTTATTATAGAGTTATAACAACGCATCTGAAAACCTACAGGTTATTTCAAATATCCATGGGCTGCGATGACTTAAATCAGGTGATCCCTCTTACTTGTATATAATATCATTGGGTGTACCCTATTTTTTTTCGGTGGGAAAAACCACTGGATCGGGGGAGTGGCAGGGGTATGTGGGAGTCCCCTAAAAACCCACGGGAACACGTAGACGCAGTCTTCCGCAACCCCGGCGCGACTAACCATTTGGTGTTGAATTGAGAAAACAGAACACACAACAGAACTTGTTTCGTCTATGCCGTGGGGTTAACCGCCAGCTCGCTTACCATCTTCCTAAAAATATCTGCTCTTACACTGTACCATTTAAATTGTAACCAAAAATATGTGTGATAAAACTTTGCATTTTTTAAATAGCTGGTCAAGAATTATCCAGATTTTGTTGTTTCAGTGTATGAAAGTAATACAATTACTATAAAATCATTTTATACAATATTATTATTATATATTTTATTTTGAACCATTATTTCAAAGCCTTCAGCAGTAATTGTAGGACATTTCAAGTTGGAATTTACTTGAATTATTTTGCTTGATCTCGAAATACTTTTCAAGGTAAAAACAATTTCTCTCCTCTCCTAAGTTTCTTTGTCAAAGTCTATCTGTAGAATTGTTTCCATTTTAACAGTCAAATTTATTTTGACCCAGAAATCTAATCTATTTAAATTGCATTAGCAATAATATTCAGTGATGAAGACTGTAACTTCGCAAATAACCGTCGGCTTATTATCCATAGGACTCAAAGATATTTTCAACTATAATGGAGTTGGTTAAGATCAAACCGTGCTACCATAAGTTTATTTAAATTTTGACTATATTAAATTCTTTGAATGGTCTTGTTTAAGTATAAATGAATTATTAGAGACATGATATAAAACATAGCCTTTACCGATTTGTATAACTAAAACTATAATTGACTTAATAATTGGGTAACAAAAATACTTAGCTTTTCCAACAGAGTTTATTGGACACAAGTTATAAAATACAGCTTTTACCGACTTATACAACTATAACTCAACGATGACCGAATAATTTGATAACAATAGTTTTTCCGACACAGCAACAGCCTTTAACAACCGATAACCAAAAACTAACCCGCGTACGTTGTGAGAGTTGAATTTATACCCCTCAAAAACCAATACCAACTACCGCCCCATTCTAAGGTGTAGGAAATATCACGACGGAATAGGTATCAAACCAACAACTTTTAAATAAGTCGCAACAAACTGTACTAATAAATTATTGATAACTTATTAATTAGATTAAATATGTTAATAGCGTGGCCCGACCCGAGCCGAGGCTCCCCCGGGAGCCCTCGAGCGTAGTCACCATAACGCTTAATAATACGCCGAGGTTCAGGCTAGGCGCCCCGTGCCCCAGGCCACCTCAAGCCCGTCGGAACTGTAAAGGCCCCTAAGGCCAACATTGGCTTATCCAGCCCAAAAAAAAAATATTAAAAAAAAAATTAAATATGTGCCGTAATTATAACATAATACTATGATAATAATTATATTAATAACTATATTAATAATTATATTAATAAAAAAGTATCCAACTAGACCTTTGAGACTAAAATGTCAAATTTATAAGGAGAGCTTAATTTGGCACATCGGTCTCCTACGGTATAAAAAATTATAAAAAGAACACGGCGTCATTTGGAATACTGTATACTGTGGGTGAGGAATAAAGAATTATTATTATGAGGTTCGGACGTTACGAAGAAATTTACGAACGATGTGGCACGTGTTAATTGTGGCAGCTTTTTGAAAATTTAATTATTATTATTAACTAAAAATCATTATGTGAAATAAATTTTTACGTGAAAACTTGTCAAGCGAGCAGGCGGTTCATCTGATGTTACGTGATTACCGCCGTCCATGGACGTCTAACACCTAAGGGAGGAACGCATCTGCAGCGTTGACAATTTTTAAAATAATTAGGCCCAGGCTACCTCACTCACCAGAGGAAACGCGAAAGTATTTATTACAGTATTTATTAATTACACTGTCACTTCACGCCTGTCTTCTGAGAGGCCGTAGTACTTTCCCTGAAGAGCTTGTCCATTCATGCAATAGCCGAAGTTGCTACGTGGCCCTACAACAGTTAGTTATAGTTCATAATACCGGGAAATACAGATCTAAATACCACGGTAACAAAATAAATGATTTTAAATACTATTAATCGAAACGATGTAGTCTAGGGAAACAATACTTGGACTGAAATGCCCGATAGTGGTTAAAATGAGACGGAGTCGTATAGTTTAAATTTCAGCCTATTCGAGAAACTTACTAAATTTATATTTATTAAAAAACTACTACCGTAAAGAGCATTTTGAGACAAAATTGTAAGAAATCTGAACTGATTCGACCGATAATTTGCAGTACCTGGAGGATCGAGCTTTGCTCGGTTTGTTTTTTTTTGTAAATCATGTATTTTGGAAATTACATTTAGATACAAATTACTGAGTAATGAAATATGTATAATATTTTTCGATCTTACCGACCTAATAATAAGAAAACATGAAGTGGTGTTTTCACGAAAGAAACAACTTTAAAAAAGGGAAAAAAATAACAAAAGCATCTAGATAAAAAAAAAATAAGAAAGCAATGATCTGGAATCGAAAAAAAAGTAAAAAAAAGATTGTTTAAATAATAGTGACACGAACTACGACCGTCTGTTTTGGGGCCGCCCGATTACCGACCGAGCTATTATAACATTTTTTTTGCGGCTCATTTTTTAATTGCTCGTTTAAAGGATAAGATAATTAATAATGTTTCAAATAAAGTTCTTCTTTCCTCCTCCTTCCTCCTTTTAAAATGCATAAGCTCTTTGTGAATTTTAGCTCGTCATTGACATCGTAAGCTGTGTATTACCTGTCGTAATTTTTATATAACTTTTAATTATCATAGATAATATGGGCAGAAAAGCAGTGAGGATGCTTTTCTGGAGCTCGCATAACGAGGAACGCATAATCCATTAGATGAGACGCGTGATTATTGGACTTTGTGGCAACTTTCTCCACCTACAAGTAGCACTTACCTGCTTCATTGTTTTGATCTGGTCCGCTATCATGTTCCGATTCCGACTCATCCCAGATGGTGTCAGTAGCGATCTTCTGGCGCGAGCACTCGATCCAGTAGCCTGGCGTGGGGATGAGGCTATGCGGGTACTCTTCGCAGAATTCGTCTGAAAAATGTTCCCGTGTTATTTTTGCCAGCTTCAAACATTAATAGCCATTCATAAATTGGGTCACACATAACCAATGCGCCTCTTTATTTCACTTGTAGGTAGACTAGATGAGATAAGTCATCTCGTTTTCCAGTCAATTTTTATTGTAGTTATATCGTAAAGAAAATCTTTTTAGTACTATTTTTTTTGTAGTCTTTGACTCTACAGTTTACGTCTTACCGTTGACGACGGTTGACAGCTTTTCTAGTCCAATTTACAAAGACTAATTTATTTAATAGATATGATCGACTGCATGGAATTTAAATAATATTTAATTAAGTGAGGTTTTCAAAATCTTGCAGATGTTGTTTTTAATGAATGTATCGTTAAAAATAACCTTTTCAAAGTTTCGTTTTCAGTCGCAATTCAAAATGAAACCGCCATATCTGCCATTTTATTGCGAGCGAACTGGAAACTTCGTAATTGAAAAAGATGAGAACTTGAACTGATGGAAGTTGTGATAGGACGTGGAGAGACGATGGAACTGTTGCTCATTAAAATTGTTATTCTCGCTAGCGTTCACTTTTCATTATGATCTTGTATTGAAATAGTAATTATAACATTTCATTAGTCATACTTATTGAGTTGTTACTGTGTAACATACGTTTGCATTAGATGGTTAAAGTTGTAACATATCGTGGAATATATTTGTATATTGGGTACCTATTGTACATCAGTACTCAAAATCTAAACATTTACGATCAATTTTACTACTAATAATACTGTTTTTTTTTTGAAAATGAATGGGATGGTGTTAAATGTTGAATTTTTGCCTACAAGTATTTGTCAAAAGTTTAATTTTGACGACTCCGTGGCGCTGTTGCCAAAGTATTGGCTTCAATGTCCGGGGTCTTGGGTTCGCTTCCCACACGGGACAACTATTTGTTTGACCCACAGATAGTTGTTTCACATCTGGGTGTTGTTCACGTGAAATTTTATGTTTGTAATTCCCATATTTAAAAAAATATGTCCGTGGAGATCGGCATTTATCGGCTTTTGACCATTTACGTTCTTTTAAATTATAGAATAAATTATCGATTTCAGTTCTAAGGTATATACATATTTACCGTCAATGAACCCTTTATTTTAGCTTAATGATACGGAATAAAAGATCCACGTTGACTTGCACCATTCATGTTCTTTACATGTTTTTGCTATTAAATTACTGTTTGGTATAAGTAATAAGGTATCATTATTACTTTTTTCCCTGCGTCGAATTATAACGGATGATTTTTATTTCATCGTATCTAAATAAATTAATAAATAAATAACTTTTATAACATTCTAATCTTTTATTTACAAATTAGTTCATAGCACGTTACAAACTTAAAGAAGAAGAAGTAACATGTGTTTTAGATATATAAATATAAATATTTAGGACACATTTGTACACAACATTTTCTAGTCCCAAACTAAGCAAAGCTTGTACTATGGGTACTAGAAAACTGATAAACATACTTAAGCATACTTTTCTTTTGTAAATAAATACATATTATACATATAGAAACACCCAGACACTAGAAAATAGGTAAGACACTAGTTAGCAATAGGTAAATACGATGCTATTCATTTATAGTGTGATTAATTTGTGTATAAACTACGAAAGAAAATGTATGAGATTTTATTAGCAACTTATACATAAATAGTGGTTAATAATAAAAAGTGGAGTGATATTAATAAGAAACAGTCTTTGTATTGTTTGAAACGACCAGTAAAAGAAAAGTTACTAAAGGAAAAATAAGAAATATTATAATTAAATGTGAAATCCTTAAATTACAATGTAGTTAGACGGCTTCTACTTCTTCGATTCTTTCTTCTTGGTGGATTGGAAAAGCGCGATTCACTGTAAGGTAGAACACCAAACTGGGCAATATGCTTGGCGTTCATCCTTAGAGTGAACCGAACTTCTCCAGTGATGTCGGACTTCTTCTATCTTCTCTTGCCTTCTCTATTCTTCTTATGCTCTTATGTTCTTGATATATCAATAAGATAATTTCTAATTAATTATCATTTTTATTTATAACTTTAAATTACATGAATATGAGTTAAGCTGAGTCATGACTTATGCTAGTGATTTGTAAAACTCCGTTAAATGGAATTAAGAATATTATAAAATAGATTAAGAATGAAATATATAGTAGTTTGAAATGTCTTCAACGTCGAGCTATAGGCACATTTAGATACATGTATATGTTATGTCGGATGGACAGCGTTAACTGAAACTAAAAACCAAAAATCTCATAAAAACAAAATCAGCGGGATTAAGTGCCACTACGAAACCTACCGTCAAATATTCTTAAAAATTTCTCAAAGTTTTCTTTTTATAGTGACTATTTCGTAATCTTATTGGAACGAAACATTATTAATTTTGTACAAACTGCAAACATAAATATTTTTTATACAAAAACGGCAATTGAAGAACAAAACAGATTTTTTTATCAAAGGCACCCAGGAAATATTAATTTCCGCTTCATGGAAAAGGGTTGCCATTTCAATTCCGGAGCTAGGGCAATGTGTGCACGAAAGGTTTCGTTTACGGTAAATGTGTGTATTTCATTCTAGCATAAAATGGTAAAAACAAAAAAGAAAATTGTACCAATAAATGGTACAATTTTATTTTTTTACCATTATGTAAACATTCGTTATTTCTAAACGATTAATTTATTATAATTAAATATATGTAATTTAAATAAATTTCTCACCAGAAAATCTGCCTAGATTTACAACCGTATTTGCATGATGTAACATGCCAGTATATGAATACATCGAGTCAGTTTTTACGAGTTACGTGCTTTATCATTTCACGTGAAGCTTAATTAATATTTCTCTGTAGGTTTTGGCCCTCGGCAAACGCAAAGCCACCGAAGCATTTGCAGATTTTAATTTGATACCGCCATGATGCCGTAAAACTCGCTTTATTTCAAAAGAAAATATATTCCATTGCATGTGATATTGCTTGAAGCCACAGGAAAAGAGATGCCGCTACGATAAATTTACACGATCAACATTTCAGTTCATCAGTTTTCATACTAAAATATAAACTCCAATCGCGTTTTCAAGTAAATATCGTATGAGGTTATAAATATAATTTGATACGTAGTTACGTTATAGAAATTGTAGGAAATATAGAACGTAGAACGTTATAGAATAATTATGTGCGTATTGATTGACATTACATGAAATACAAGTATAGCGCGTGATAGTTATACTGTCAATCGTGAGTCTACTGGCCTATACTTAAGATAACTGTGTTGTTAACGCACCAAAGAAAGATGGGAACGAAAAAGACCACACACCTCAAACACTTGCCATCCTCTTTTTACCCGACTGCGCCGGAAGGACGGTTATGTTTTTCGAGAGTATGTATGTATAATTGTTTGGCACGCTCTGCAGCCTGAACGGCTTGATGGAGTTTAGCTTGAGAAGTGTCGTTAGATTCGTATTTACTGTGAGAGTGACACTGAGTATATCAAAATCATTTCCAAATTACAGAGAAATGCAGTCGAGTTTTTTAGTCTTTTAAAGTATATCTACTTGTTTCTTCTTGCTTAACTTATCTATATATGCCATTCGAACGAAATGCGTGAATGTGTGCTGTCACTCTGTATGGAGCACTTTCGATCGTTGATTTTGAATGCGTATAACATATCTGTAGTACCAAATATCATTGAATCAGGCTAATATACGTGGAGTGCCGAACATGCCCAGCATAACGTGCGAGGGTCGGGGGCTGGGGTCTCCAAATATATTAGCCCTGCTGAATGGAGCCAACACAATTTGATGTTGTCGCGTCGCATAAGGTTTTACCTTAACGTATTACGGGTAATCTTTTGCAACACGACTACGAGGCAGCAAATTTCGCTCGTATCCTTACAATGTTTTTAATAATCTGTATGTTATTTTGTTGGAATAATGAGGACGAGTGTTTATTTTTAGCGGAAACACCTTAGTGAAAAAAAGTAAAGTAACAGCCTAAACATATATCACTGCTGGGCAAAGGCCTCCTCTGTACAGATTGTACGACTACCACTGCGAATTGGTGGACTTCTCATATCTTCGAAATTTGTATTTCTGTTATTTCGAAAATATACAGGTTTCCTCACGATGTTTTCCTTCATCGCTGATTTTGATCTTCTGATTGGCTAGTTCACAATTCAATATAAATAAATAAATATTTTTAGGACACATTTTTACACAATGTTCTTTCTGTAGTCCCTAACTAAGCAACGCTTGTACTATGCATACCAGATAACTGATAAACATACTTAAACATACTTAAGCATACTTTCATTTTGTAAATAAATACATATCATACATGTATAAACACTCAGACACTGGTAAAACACATGTATACTTTCATCACACAATATTTTTCCAGTAGTGGGGATCGAACCCACTACCCACTACGCCAGTCGGGTCGTCAAATTAATTCATAATTTCATAGGCGTTTTGATTTTTGTTTGCGTGGATTCCTAATGTTTTCAATAATAAAACTAGCTTTATTTGCTCCTTTTAACAACAGTTATCTGCAAATGAAATTCCCATGAAAACAAAATTAAATAAATTGTCCAATCGTTTAAAACGTAGTCAGAACAAACAGACATGAAAAGAAAAATTACAACGTTTGTTTTTGGTTTTCCTACCATATTAAATTACTTATAAGTGAAAAGCTATTGTGTTGACAACATAATTCCAAACACGGAACAGATTACTAACAGAAAACATTGTTAATGAAAAATAAATACTTTAATTTCACTTATTTATTTATACAGCGTATCTTTACAACCGCGACAGTAAATGAACACACATTATAGAGAACAACTCTTTAAAATTGTATTAAACATTTACAACAAACATCAATATTTACCGAGTTATATAATTTTCCAAAATAAACAATTTTAGAATACATATAAACAAGTATAAAACTGTAACGTAAAGTTCATTTGTAAAGGTCACAACGCATATGAATGGGTTGAATGAATTTAAAAGAGATAAAACATACTGTTAGAAGGAGAGACTTGAATGCTGTGGTAACGAATGAAAAAGCCTCTGAATGTATGAATCAGTTAGTTGTAGTTGTATAGGGTATTACAAACTTTGTTACTTTTTTATTTAATTAGTTTGTTTGCAAAATATTTTATTTTAATTATGGATTTTTTTATGATTATTGACAAATAGTGTTAGACGTGTATTCAATTATTGTTGCCGTTGTAACGACACGCTGTATATAGATTTTTATTAGTATCGCTTTTTACGCTGAATAATTAATATACTAAAAAGTACATATTGCGACTTATACACAAAAAGAATTATTAAAAAATACAGTTTTATCACACGAACGGTCACAAATCAAATAAACGTATTAATTAAATGATAACATCGAGCTTATCACAGGACAAAGTTTACATTAGGCTTTGTTAGTAAGCCGCTAGGTATGCAGCATTTCTGAACCAATGTATAAAATAGAGGTCTTGGAGGTTAACCCTTTGTCCCTAAAATTTTAGGTCCCAAGTCATATCAAATATCTAAATAATGCTAGAGGATAAATGAGATGTTATATATTGCATTTCTCATATTGTTATACGTAGACATTAATAAAGAATACATACACACACCGTGAATATAGGGAGATGCTCTCAGGTTGCAAATGATATCTCTTTATTGACCTTTGAACTCTTTTGAACTCTGAATGTTTATAGCATCTTATCTCGAAGTTGAACGAAAGTAGGGTTATATTTTTATACTGTAGCGATTAGTTTAAAATTGCAAAAAACGTTTAGCTTTCTTGCGAAAAGGTTTATCGTACTATGCTAGCACATCTGAAATTTAAGCGTGGGCGTTTAATATAATTAGTAGTAAGCATAGCAATTACCAATGGGAAAAATTGTTGCCAAAGATAACAATTAAATCTTTCATTTTTTTATGTGACAAGGTGGCAAGCGAGCTATATTAAGTGATAAGCGGACATTTGCAAAATCCGTAGGGTTTCAGATGCGTTGCCACCTTTTAATAAAGTGGGTCCCGGTTACCTCACTGAGTAGACGAAACGCGAAAGTGTAACTCTTCCGCTGCACGCCAGTAATTTTTGAGAAATCGTGGTACACCCCGGACGAGGAAGTAACACGTATTCGTGCAACAGTGAATAATATTGCGTGGTCCAACCCCAGTTTATACAGCCAGTAAAGTAAAGAAACAACATATATAGAGGTGGATAGGCGGACTTCACATATATTCAAAATATTTTCTTTTATAAAATATGCAGGTTTCTTCAAGATGATTCCTTCACCGCTGAGCACGTGATAAGTAAAGTAAGTTAAGTAACAGCCTATACATGTGCCACTGCTGGGCAAAGGCCTCCTCTATACAGAGGGTATCAGGGCATAGTTCACCACGCGGCCCCACTGCGGATTGGTGGACTTCACATATTTTCGAAATATATATTTTTTGTTATTATTTTGAAAATATGCAGGTTTCCTCACGATGTTTTCCTTCACCGCGGAGCACGTGATAAGTCAGCACTTAAAAGTAATAATTTCATTAGTGCCAGAACCGTGCTTTGTACTCAGGTTACTCGGGTATTTAGAATTAAAAGCGAACGAACGGAAACTAAGCTATAATGGCTACCGCCAATATTACAATAAAATCAATGACAAAACTTATATGGCTGAAATGAACTATTGCATTACTCAGTCGTACTCAATATAGCGAAAATATAAAAAGAAAATAGAGAAATAAAAATAAAGAAACACGTAAAAAAGGTATTCAACTTCCATAAAGAATGGACAAGCCAATATGACGTATGTATACCATTGACATTGTATACGAGACCTAACTAAATAACAGCGTTGACAAAATAAAATTGACAGGGGATTTCTTGCAAGAATAACGCTGGTTAAATATTTAATACGGGTTTGTTTACTTATTTATACGAGTGGTCCGCGCGGGGGAGGCAAACGATGAGGGTGGTTAGGGAGAATTTTCACCTTCTGCGGCGGCCGCGGTTGTTCGACCCGCTCAGGAAACAACGGGAAATTGAGTTCCCTTGCATTTCATTTCACGGGTACCGGGGACAGATACGCGTTATTGTGGAGCCGATCGGAAAAATCCACAGCCTGCCCTGGTTTTGAATGCCGGAACTAATATGACTCCGTGGAGCAGTGGCTAAGGTATAGGCTTCTTTTAATATTTAAAAAACAAATTATAAAATAGAATATATGCAAAAATTAAATTTCATTTCGTTATCAATTATCCGTTTTATATATTCGAAGCACATTTTTTTAGAGCTGCCTTCTGATCTCTGTATATAATTTTAAAAGGACAAGAGTGTCGACGAGAACAGTTTTGCTCTCCCGTTTTCATCTGACAGTTATTGACTAGCTGCCCACTCACAGGCGTTGACGAGCAACACAATGTAGCCAACTTGCCAAATACGAGAATAGATGAAGTCTGATACAATCCCGACCGGATAACGATGCGGAAAAAACAGATGAAAATAGTTCAATACATGACAAGAAATTTGGAGAAAAAAGAAATGTTTTTTATCGACATTTTTCAATTTATTAGATAAATTGAGTAACTTAAAATCCTCCGTTTAAAATCTACTCTTTTGTTTTAAAATCTTTAAGTGAGTCAAAATAAAAAAAAAAAACCTTTAAGTTAAAATAAACTAATAATTTTTTTTTCATTGAAATTATGAGTGGAACACGCGGATACATAACTGTTGAAGTTAACCGTGAAGGATTAGTTATTGGCTTATTGGAATCAATTATTCAATTTATTTTATTAATGTCTTGTCACGTAGTAATTTGTATGCCGTGATACAGCCTGGACATAATAGGACACTGTATATTCAATATTTTGCATGCAATATATGTATACCGTGTCTGATAAATATACACTATCTATCTATCCTTAGTATTTTGATACTTCGCAGAAACAGTTATAACAAAATTTCAGATTTACAAAATAGATGTTAAAGTTTGAGTGGTAACCGAATTATTATTTGATATAAATTTAAGCGCCAACACAAATTCCAGATTTGACGAACCCTCGAGCGTAGCCTTCATTACAATGACAGTAAAATTGAGCGTAATTATTCAGTTGTGCGGATTCGGTAAGAGCTTACGGAGGCAGCAAATGGTCGATACGTTTAATCTTGTCAATTAACTGGAAAATTGGGAAAGCCCTTCCAGCGAAACGGGAACATAAAACTCTCGTTCGCGGTTACGAACTTATTACTATTTCAATTTCAAGTGAAGACGAGGAATTTTTGCTTTCGAATCGTTAAATAATTACAGCTATCTGTACCAATTTCCTTCAGATTTGACAAAGGTAAGGGAATTTAACAAAATTTTAATGTTATATAAATAGCGTGAGCGATAAAAGAGTTTTAAACAACAATCTAAGCAAAGACAAGATAATCTTACAAAATGGCATCAGTTAATGTGGAAAGTCCACAAAGTAGCAGGTGGTTTACCTGAAGTTAAGCGATTACTGTCAACACTGCACCTGACTATTGCTTTATTCGCCTCACATGTGTTATTTTATACAACTTTTACAATCTTAGGCCAAGATATCATGGCCATAGAAATCATTCTCGGTGTCCACTAGAAGTGACACGGCGTGAAGTTCTTCACTTAATATCTAAGTGATCACGCCTATTTTGACATTTACACCACCTTGAAACTAGTCTGTGTTCGTAAAAAACGACTTGCGTCGGTATGGGGAGCGGTTTGCTTTACCTGAACAGGCCTGCGGTGGCAGTGGGAATATGAGGGTGGTGGACGATTTCCGTCGGGCGACAGCGCAGCCCAGCGACTGCGGTTTGAAGCTGCGCAGTTGTTGCATAAAGTCACTGCACTCCATGAGCGCCACGTCAGCGAAGTGCAAGTCGCACAAGATCTGATTCTTGAAGCGGCGAGCGCGTTTCTGTGGAATTAGACATTAGTTAGTATTGGATATGAAGTATTGACGGTTGATGCCGAGGTTGTTCATAGGGTCGGCTGCTATGAGGAAAATGTCCTTGCTTGACGAAATCTGGCTTTCGTAAATCTTATTACGAGTATGAGAAAGAGAAAGGATAAACAGTTTTTAACGAGTTATTATAGTAAATAAGCAAAATAACTTAGTTTAACTGATGTGGTTAGTGTCAACTTTAGTATAAGCGCGCATACCATTACATACACATTCTCCCCCATGACTAAAAAGACGAATAAAATTTGTAAAACTTTCAGTTTCTTCAAACCATCTGCATAATAATAACAACACGTTTGGTAAAATTATAAATAGCTTATCGTTAACTTCTCATATCTTATTATTCTGTAATATTTCTTATAGAATTTGTTCACACGTGTGCTCTTGGCTAAAATTAATCAATAACGGAAGACAAGTTAATACTAACTTAGTGAGGGTGAGTTATGGCGGAGCTTTTTCTTTTCTAACGTTCCATAAACATTATATAAATGAATTCTCTCTCCTAATCAAACGCACGAGTATTAATAAATGGTCTTGAGTACGTGTTTACGACGTTATATTTATCTAAGCAAGAATCTAATACATAAACATGTAATTTTTTAAATAATTAAAATATATTAATTAATAAATAAATTGTTTAAATATATTTCTGATTTTTTTGTTTCTCACATTTGAAGTTTTTTAAATTGATGTATATTTTAAAATCAAGATATATATGTTTCAACCCTTTCCAGCTTCGAAACGTAGTCAAAAGTTAAAATTAAAACGCGATAAAATCCGTAAACAAGTTGCATATAATTCTGTATTAAAGCTAAGAAAGGCTAGTACGTAGTATCTTTTCGTACTTTTTCTACATATTTTAATGTTCAATCTTAAGTGCAAAGATTAGCACTATAAATAATTTAAATTTCTAAAAAAGCAATGGCGACATCTCTCGGTCGAATTATCTTTGTAAAACGATATCCGAAATTGTTTGTATGCTGGAAAGGATGGAGCTAACAATGGATGCGCCAAACATTGCTAAAAAACAATGTAGATAAAAGACGTTAAGATTTTCGTCGGTGTGGCAATCAGCCGCTTAGTTTATTGGCTCAAGCGTCAGACCGCGAATGCCGAAGACGTAAGGACGTGGGTTCGATTCCCACAGCGGCGACAATCTTTTCGCAATTTTTCTACATATTTTAAGGCTAGTACGTCTAGAATCTTGTGGAAAATAGTGCCTCACTGGAAACTAAAAACATATTTTTTAACTTCCATTTCACACCGTTCTTTTATAAGGTTTTGGTATTTTCCGGATGGACCTGCCTATTCGTGCAACAGAGAAGACTGTTGCATGGTCCTACTACATTTAAGCTAATAAAATATTAAATGCTGTTATTATGCTGCAATCATTGGTATTTAGTAAATGTGAATATAATTAATGAAATTTAATGTACAACATCATCATCATAATAATAGGCATATTTTACAATTGCCTCGAGCAAATACGCTCAGTTAAAAAATTTGTTTATTATTTGTATTATTGTAACAGAAATAAAATTGTAGCCAGTGCAATAAAATAATTAAAATTATAAAAAAAATACTAACATTTTTGCATATAAAACCTCTAACATAGACAACTTATGTAGATCGAACAAAGGTTTAAATACTTTCTTTGTATACTCTAATACAGTCTTTTGAACCTGATTGTGGTTTTTATAATTTATTTCCTTAACGTGTATTTTTGCTTATAGTAAGTTTAAAACAAAAAAAGCACATGAATATTTTTTAAAAGATGATACGTTAATGATAATGATATATGACAAAAAGTTTTCTCTGTTTTCATTTACCATTTTTAAATTATAAATGGTGAATGATAATGCAACATGTAGATCGTGTTATCATTAATTAATTTTTTTCCGATATATTATATCAAAAATTATCTGCATTTTTTGTGTTTTATACAGTTACTGTGGTAGGGCCACGCAACAGTCATTGCTGTAGCACGAGTATGCAGCTTAAGCTTTTATATATCTGCCTTTAGTTTGATGAGTGAGGTAGCCGGGGCCCACTTTATTAATTCATCTACCAGCAGCCCATCAGTTATATTATTAAAGAGATATATATTTAAAAGTATATATTTATAGTATTTTTAAAAAGACGAACAAGAGAGCTTCCATATAAATATCATCAAAAATTTACTATCTTATAAACTGATCGTGAGCTTAATATTGCTTTATAACTGTAAAAAAATTGCTGTGTAGCAATAAGGCCGCCTTTTGATGACCAATATTTTGTTAAATATTTTGTTTTTTGTGCTTTTTCATTTTGATTTTTTGGTGTAAAATAAAGTATATTATTATTATGGGGATATTTCTTTGTTTTCTCTTCTGGTTGGGTTTATAGATAAAAAATAAACATATAAATATATATTGCATATATAAAATGTATTGTATTGTATTGTATATAAAATAAATATTATGAATAAAAATAAACATATAGATATAAATATTATATATAATACATAAATAAATAGGATTCAACCACACGGAAGCCCTCGGCAGGGGAGACCAAACGGCCGAGGGTTAGGGTGAGAGGGAGAGAAACCGGCGGACGATGCGGGCGGTATCAAGGAGCACCGCCTTCTGCATTTGAGCTTGGAGCGTTCCGTCCCGGAGTCCCAGTCGCCTCAGATGTTCGGAGAGGCTGACTGGGATTAACCCATTCGCAGACACGACTATCGGTATGATTTCGGTCGGCACACCACCCCACATGTCGGTCACCTCGTGAGCCAGGTCCAGATACTTTGTCTTCTTATCTGTTTCGGCTTTCACGAGGTTCTCGTCATATGGAATGATAATGTCGACCAAAAATACCCGCGACTGTGCCCGGTCCATCACCACGATGTCAGGTTTGTTCGCGACAATCGTCCTGTCCGTGATGATGGGCCGGTCCCAATAGAGCCTGGCGCGGTCATTTTTGAGCACGGCCTCCGGAGAGTACTTGTAGTACGGCAGTTTCCGATCCACGAGGCCGTATTTCAGAGCGAGCTCCTGGTGTAGGATTCTGGCTACTAGGTTGTGTCTATGCTCAGAGTTAGAAAGCATGGAACAACCGGAAATAACATGCCGAAGCGACTCCCCGGTATGCCACGGTGCCGTCCCTTAGGATGTATTTCCGATAGTTGTTCGTCTTAATAACCTGATCCTGTATCGCACAGACAAAACCTTCGGTTTCCACAAAGAGGTCACCGAAACGTAGCCAGTTAAGGGAGGCAAGAGTAGAGCAACAAAAGGCTCGTGTAGAGCATTGTAGAACCTCCCGTGGAGCTCTTTCTCCTTCCATACGGCCTCCCGGTCGAAAACGCTCAGCACTCCCGGGTCCTGCCATTGCTCGTTGGCTAAGGATAGAGGGGTAAGTCCTTTATCACAACTAATGACGTCCGTACAGATTGACTCATCCGATCTCGCCAGAAAGTAGTTGCGGAGGCTGCACACCTCGCGATTGTGCATGGTGAGGGCGCTTAAAAAGCCCCTCCCACCATGCTTCCGCGGCAGGTACAGCCTCATCACTGACGATCTCGGATGATGCATCCTGTGGGACGTCATAGTTATGCGGACTATTTATATTATTATGGGAATATTTATTTGTTTTCTCACCTGGTTGGGTTTATAGATAAAAATTAAACATATAGATATATATTGCATATATAAAATAAATATTATGAATAAAAATAATAAATATTATTATTATGTGGGATATTTCTTTGTTTTCTCGTCTGGTTGGGTTTATAGATAAAAAATAAACATATAGATGTAAATATTGTATATAATTCATATATAAATAGGACCCAACCAGACGGAAGCCCTCGGCAGGGGAGACCAAACGGCCGAGGGTTAGGGAGAGAAACCGGCGGACGATGCGGGCGGTATCGAGGAGCACCGCTTTCTGCATTAGAGCTTGGAGCGTTCCGTCCCGGAGTCCCAAGTTATTATTGTTAATTATGAATGTGATACAGTGCGATATAATAGTAAAGAGAAATGAAGTTACGCCATAATCTAAACTCGAATTTTTATTAGCGGATTGGCATAATGGATGGTGAACATGTCTCTTGCGCCGGAAGGTTCTGGCTTGATCCCCACCACTGGAAAATATCATGGACGTTATGTTTTTCTATGATCCGAGTGTTTATATATCTATAATATATACTTATTTACAAAAACAAAGTATCTATGTTTAAGTTTGATTATTGGTTAACTAGCAACCATAGTACCACCATCTTTGCTATGTTTGGGAATATTTATTTCTTTATTTCTTGCAAGGTATTTTTTATTTTTTTAATCTACCACGTAAGTGATGTTCTCACGGCGGTGGTTGTCTATGATCTTTGATGATTGACAGTAATTTATTCTCTTATAAACATAGGACAAAGGCTAAAATAAACAACCAGAACATATTCTTAGATATTTGAAACCATTTGTTTCTTTACCATTATTGTGTCATTGGCGATATCATAAGGACCGTCAACTGCCTTAGAAGAAGAAGAAGACCTTAGTAATCCTAGGCAAAAATAAACTACCAGAAGATATTCTTCATATTTGAAACCATTTGTTTCTTTACCATTATTGTGTCATTGGCGATATCATAAGTTCCGCCAACTGCCTGACAACTGACAATAAAAACTGCCAAATTTTTTGTTGATTGTTAGTTATATATATTTAAAACTCTAAAACTTGTTTTGCTTCTACGTTAGCGATAGCTTAATTGTTGTAGACATTAATTTGTCAATACAAGATTTTCGCGCTTCTCAGCTTAATTTAGTTAGAGCAGTGCCGATGCCAAAATTCTAACCTGCGTGCTTCCATAATTAGCTATTAAAACTCACATCCAAATTCATCTCGAGGGCAGATAAGGGGTAGTAATAAAATTATATCCTAAAAAACAGACTATAGGAAAATTAATACTTAATTCTTAAAAATCATAACTCAGTCTTGCTCGTAGCGTATTTTTAATACAATACACCATAGTTAGTCTGTCGAAGGTAATTACCAAAGGCATGATTTCAGATTAGGTAAGCTCGAATAATTTTATAAGTTCCTTCAAGAGTTCTTAAAGAGGAGGTCAAGAGATCGATGACAGGCGACAAGGCTTGCTTGGGTGGGAATGCTAAAGGTTTGAACTTTGACTTACCGTCCGGACATTCCTTTACAGCAAAGTCTTACAGGCTCATTTAGATAGAATTGGATGGGCTTTTAAAATGATACGATATTATGGTTGAATGTAGAACGTGTACCCTTACTCTTTTAACCTAGAAGTAAAAAGGGGCATTGATACAATTAGAAAGCGGTATTATTATAATATATGACATATAAGAAATTTTTATTTATACCCGTTAATACTTCGACAATATTTCAACTTTAAAGTGAACATTTTACTTTAAAGTGAAACCAATTGACATCGACAGTTTTTAAAATTTTCAAGATGCGAGAGAAACAAGAATTGTTTCGTATCCTAGAAATTCTTATGAACTCGTGTGAATTTTTTAGTGTTCCGTACCCAGAGGGTAAAACGGGGCCCTATTACTAAGAATCCGCTGTCTGTCTGTCTGTCCGTTTGTCACCAGACTGTATATCATAAAACGTGATAGTTAGACAGTAAGAAACTTCACAGATGATGTATTTCTGATGCGGCTATAACAAAGCAAATACTAAAAAATTGACTAAAAAAATATTTAAGTGCGGTTCCTATAAACCAAAAGCGCAAAAAAAAACGTGTTTATTGTAGACATGTTGTTTTGCCGTTTTTTTTGCTGAAAATAGTACGGAATCCTCTTTGCGCGATTACGACTCGCACCTGACCGGTTTTTATAGATAATGGTACGGAACCCTTAGTGCACTAGGCCGATTTGCGCTTGGTCGGTTTTTTTTTTCATATTTGTATTCAGTTTCACCTTTTCTTTGTCTTTCAATTCATCGCTAACACAAATGAGACATTTTTTCGGAAGATAGATTTTCGTTCCCAAGACTGTCTGATTAATCCTGGGAAGGGTATATATTAAATTAAAACTGAACTATTTTTTTTTCTTCATTTGATAGAGGGGGACAGTTCACAATTGAAGACGTAATAACCCCCATAATAACAAACCAAATACAATATTAAATAACACGATAATATTAAACAATAGCATAATGAACAAGTATTTACACGATTCCTTATTCCTGCTTGTGTCAGCCGGTACAGTAATTTGGGTTCCGCTGAAAGAGGGAGAGACCAAACACTGTTACACCAGCCAACATTAAATGCAGCAGAAATATTTTGAGACAGAAATATCTGTCTCCTATACGGCTCATTACGCACACACTCCATCAAAATATGGTAGACATCTTCAACCACACCGCATTCGGAACAATTGGGGGAATCTGATTTTCCCATCATAAATGTGAATTTATTCAATGGGATATGTCCTGAGCGCAATCTGAAACTTGTCGTAATGTCTTCCCACATCACTTCTACCTAGCCATAGCATCCGAGGTTGGTTGTATGGTTTTATACCAAATACCTTTCGTGAGTGATCTTTTATCAAAGTACTCGGAACATAATTGAGAGCAACGCTCCTTAACATTTCCCAATAGGTTTGTGCAGAAAGGTAAAATATCAATACTAACACTAACTAACCGAGGCCGTCTTAGCCAGCCTATCAACTGCAAAATTTCCTGTAATAACTGGGAAGGTATCCATTGGACAATAACATTTAATTTATGTAAAGAGTTTAATATATCGTATGCCAATGGAATGCCTCTAATCATGTATGTACCTCGATCCAAATGTTGTAAAGCACTTTTAGACTTTTTGCACTTTCAGTGAATATGACAATTTGTCTACAGTTGTAATTGAACTAATATAAGATAGTGCTTCTGAAAAACTGAACAATTCAATTTTAATTTCGACCACTGAACGACTCTCAGTTAATGTTGCTATATAAAATAATAACGAACACGTTTGTACATGGAATTTATTTGTTTTTGTATGTGTTACCAATGGTGAAACTTTTTAGTAGGAGCGGGCAATTCAAACTAAATAAATATATCTCACAGATTTATCAAACTCGTTGTTGTGTTGCATTGTTTCAATTGCCGAATTAAATGTTTTAGAACGTGATGATGGATTATTTGAAATTGTTATTACATACAATCGCTCGGGTGGACCAAATCATAATTGTAATTGTTTAGTTTAAAATTTATCACTTACGCATTATTAGAAATAGAGACAGATACTGATTCTATTTTGTAATATCTTATTATCGTATTACTGAATTAAAAAATATTATTGATCCTATATGGATCTATTAAGTATATCCTGTTAGTATATTATCCTATATTAATCCGTTCATTTGAAAGTGTATCTTAAATTAAAAATTAAGTTACCCACCACTAAGTGAAAACGTGAAGGCTGTAACATAAGCAGGAAGCAACTCAAGAGACTTAAGAACTCAAGAGAATAAACGTCCAAAATTTTTTTAAACATCGCCGAAACTAAAAAGGAGAGCTAGGTGTTTGACTGTTATGTATGTTGTGAAAGGTAAGTCCGTCCCTACGTTCCCTTGCATCTACTAAACGGCTGAATGTTACGTCATTCGCCCTTAATGCGGGAGTGTTACTGGGTATGATTTTTTTTCTGTCGTATTTTCTAAAAAGGTAAAAATGTAAAAAAAGTATTTTGACATTTTTTATGGAAAAGGAGGCAAACGAGCAGTGGGTTACTGGTGGTAAGTGTTTATCACCGCAAATGGACACTCATCACACCGGACGAGACACAAATTCGTTAAGGGTTATCTGATCGCAGTCGCCACGGGGGAGGGTGGTTCTCTAGAACCACTGGTACTGGTATTGTTGATGGTTAAAATAAAAAAAACAATATATATAAAAATGCTTTAAATTTCTGCACAAACAATGTTTCCTTTTAATGTATCAAGTTGGTAAACATAAAGAGCCATAAACATAAGGATATTAAGGATGATATCGAATATCGATACTCTTTATATTTGTTTCCATTGCGATAGCATAGATAGAGATGAGTAATGTTTCGGTATAGCAACTAAAGTAGACGTGATGTGTAATTGTGTGGAAAACACGATAATAATATTTTGTTCTTATAATTTTATTCTTTCATTTCGATTTAAATTGATTATAAAGGTATTTTATTTCTAAAACCTTATATTGACTGTGTGAAAACTATTGTTTTGAAATATTTCATATCATTTACTCATATCAAATGCTTTACCCATCAGAATCATGATTTATCAACTAATTTACCAATTGGTAATCTTTAATTTATAATAAACCATAGTAATTACTTGTCACTACATATCACTTTACTTGTCATGACATGATCAATTCGATTCAATCGCTCTGCAGCCAACTTCATCACGGGTCATCCACACTACCCTAATAACAACAATCATCATTGTGTCAGAAACCGGGCGTTAATGTCATAAGGCCTGGAAAGTATTTAACTATATCCGCATGTTTTACATTATTTTATATAAACACCAACCTGATTTGGTCCAGTAAGATTCAGTCCACAGGAGTTGCAACGGAGACATTCCTCGTGGTAATGGTTGTTATCATACAGCGGGGATGGTTCTGAAAACAAATGGAGGTTATACTTTTGCGGAAAAGTAAAACTAGATAAATGTTTTGAATTGCTAATGGCGCATGTTTTGCAAATGTATAATGATTACAAGATTATAAATGAACAAAATTCATTGCGAAATCAAGGCATTTATAAATAAAGTTTATTTAAATATCGCAAAATAAATATCGTGAATATAGGTGTCAGTTCTCATGCAAACATACGTAGATGTCTAGCTAACTTCAGGTGTCGGTTTTTCGTGACGGTGTGCGCGCGCATCGCGAAAATTTACATCATTTTTCCCTAACGCACCAAAATAAGTATAACTTCAAAAAATATTGTTTTAGCCACTAACATTGCAATTAGTGTATTTTTTTATTCGGAACTTGCCAGCGCTTGACTGCCATACCACCTGACTGTAAGTGGTGATGCAGCCGATGATGATAAGTGCGCTAGTTCAGTAAAAGTCTATTCTTTCTGGACTTGAAGGCGCTTTCGTTATAATCGGACGGAAAGACGGACGCCGGCAGGTTGTTCCATTCCTTAGATGTAAGGATAATGAATGACGAAGACAATCGTTTCGTTCTTGTGCGTGAAACGTCGATTAGTGTATGCTTCGATAAAATAAAATACTTAAAAATAAAAGCATTTCATTCAATTAAATACCAATAAAATGTTTTAACTTATATTGAATTACAGCCACGTTTGACACATTACAAGCAACGTGTTCATTCGTGAATAAAATAGGTTTTACACAATTAGGTTTGTATACATTTGATATATATGTCCTAACACAATGGTGTCATTTATACGGCCGGGGCACATCATTTGACGTTATATATTTTCGCACCTTCACAGACGATCGCTAAAAAGATTTGATGGATGGCGCCGGTATCGATCCAGAGAACGTATATAGAAAAGCATATCAGGACAAACGAACCTCATAAAATATGCATAAAATCTGAGCACTTTGTCGTTTCATAATTTAAAGATATTATTACTACGTATAATTTTAAAGTAAGAGTGCACGGTTGATGCTTCTATACATATAGTGTGCGAAAATGCTTAGCTATTGGAAAAAGTGAAAGTGAATTTTCGCTTTGGACCTTTGCCAGAGGAAATATTAGTGTTAGTTGGAGGAGCGCCAAATAAATTTTAGAATGAAACTTTATGGTCAATTACTGTTGTAAACTTTATCAACAAATACTCCAGAGTTCTACTGTATAATATTCTTCATAGTTTTTTCAAAAGTTACTTTTAATCATTTATAAAAATTAATTTAATTTTGATGTTAGAGATGTATTTTTTAACTTTTTAACTCAGGGAAATAATCGAAACATTTTTTTTAAATAAAACAATTATAATTGTGAGATTAACATTAAAATTAACTCTTTCCCTTGTTTGTTTCTATGGACTTAACGAATTCAGATAACCATTTTTAATGATATTGATGCATTCGACACAATAGGAATTGTTCGATTAAATTGTTCTTTAATATTTCAAAATAAACAAAACAAAACCAACCAAACAAAGAAACCTTTGTGCTTATTTTTATTTCCATTACGACAAAGATAATAATAATATTATTATCTTATGAACTTTCGATTATGTGTTGCCATTCGCAATGGAGTTCGATATGGAGTTCTACGTACGTAGTACACGTAGCGCATGTAGAGCACGTTCGTAGCTAAGTCACTGATTACGCATACATTTGTAAAATTCCGAAAGGACTTATTACATAATATGAGTGCAATGTACTCAAAAGATCAGCGACTTAATAATTGATCAGCGACTGACTACTATTCCGATTGATTTGAGCTGACGTTGGTGGTATAGATAGTCTGTGGTAGGGCTCCGCTGAGCACGAATCGGCCGGTCCGTCCGGGGAAGTACCACGACTTCACAGAAGACCGGCGTGAAGTAGGAGTGTTATACTTCTGCGTTTCGTCTGGTGAGTGAGGTAACCTAGGCCCAATTTATTGGCCACTGCTGGTGTTGCAAATGTCCATGGGCAACGCTAATCATTTAACATTAGGTGAATCGCCACCTTCTAACAAGAGAGTTAGGACAGGACAACTGTATGTACGATTTCTGTTTTTGAGGAATTTGTTCCCATTGTAATATAAAAATCAGCCCGTGTGGATTAACGCGTCTAATACTTCAGGTTTGATACGTCTAATACGTCAAGTTTTACTTACGTTTTTTTTTAATTACGCCTAATACGTCAAGTTTTTGTTTGAGATTAATTATTGCTATTTATCTGCTTTGGACCTGAATGCCTTTTGTCTTAAGTGCACATCAAATAATTCAGTAGGCGTCACCGATGAGTCGTTTTATTCATTAATTTGATTTTATTTATAGTTGTATTAATTGATTATAATTACTTAACTGGTGGTCTTTTGAGCATCTCCATACTAACTACACTGAATAGTATTTGTATTAGCAAGAAAATAGCTGTCGCTGACGTTCTTACTGAACCGTTACAACCTGGGAAGCTTCAAGAAGAGAGCATATTCTTTCCTGTGATCTTTCCGTTGCGGCCGTGAAAACTTTCCATAAAGGGAGCATCCTGCCCATTTGCCTCCTTTTTCCATAAAAACAACTCAGTAATTGTTATTTGTAACATGCACATTATTTAACTGTAACCATAAATGGAAATGAATTGATTTTTTGTGCGATAAATTCATGTAAATTATGGCATTACAGCATGGCATGTGCCCTTCAGAAATAACGACTGGTTTTTTATAGATGAAAAAAAATATTTTTATGCATGAATAGGAGAATGACGTAATAGAATGCGTAATTAATGCGAACGTAACGGTAAAGTGGACGTTAAATGTGTATTTTCATCTTTTTTATTGGGCGTACCCAATACTGGCGAGTGTAATATAATATTAATGTTACCTTTTAGCAACAACATGAATTCCAGTCGAAATTTTATCGCCTACGTTTATTTGTTTCTTTAAGCTACCAGCGTCGCGTAAAATTTTGTGGGAAACAAATTATAATGGAAATTTTATAATGTTCCCATCTGCCGGCACGAGATTTATGCGGAAGTTATAAAATATTAAGGTGATGGTAAAATTATTATGATTTTAATAGTGTAAAACTGCTTGCTAGTTGATGCTAGTGTTTATAGAATTTATATTTTGATTTGTTATGTACGTATATATCCGTCCGCTAAAATATTCAAAATAACGCTACTAGTAATAGCTCTGTGTCAACCGCTTATAAAATACTATATTCTCGCTTGAGATGGTATCACTATTTAAATCTTCTCCCTTCAAAAGAGCATAAAGGATCATCTTAAAAGTTGCTCTCGGTAAACCTATTAAATACCCAACCGATACTCTTTAATAGGAATCACGGATTTTCAGCATCAGGAATATGATACATCGAGCCACGAGAGTACTAGAACGTGTGGAAAAATCCGTGTTAAATTCTAAAAGTTAGAAAGAAATGTTGCAAAGGCGCGTTTTTAAAGTGACTACTGTTGACTTCTTTCTTCGCAAATAGCTTTGGAAATTATCGTTTTAGTAATTAAGAATACTAGTTTGAAATTAAGTTACGAAAAATCAAAGAGTTTTAATATTCCTGTATTAAAACTGAGATTGTATCAAAACTTTCTATCAATTCCAATGATATCGAGAAATGAAAAAGGTCAGCGCACGCACTTACACATATTTATAACGATACATGATTATTATTATAATTATGGATTATTTAGTGTTTACTGCTCGTGCTAAATTGTGGGCTAGTATGTCTACTCGTACAATTGTTAACCGAAATATGTTTTTTTTAATTTTGTCTATTTATTGAAATTTCATTGCATTTTTATATATACAACATATTTTTAGTATTTTGATATTATAAAATTTTAGAAATTAGAACTGTGAAAATAAAAACAATTGAACTCTCTATAGTTTAATAATGAATGTGATAGCTAGCAATGGAATTATATGTGATATAAATATGGAATTGTATAAATAATTGGATATAATGAATTATAGTGTATATGGAATTAGTTCTTCACAATAAGACATTCAACATTAAAACTCAAATTAATTATTTTTAATAGAATCAAGCTTAAATTCGTTCACATGCTTAATTTTTCAATGAAAACACGTACGAAAATGCTTCTTTTAAATGTAAAATATTGTAATATTTTTTTTTGAAAATCTTTGAGCAATATTATGATAACATTAAGTAATCAGTTAACGGAGATTAGCTAAGTACGGGTATGCTTCCTTTGTAAAGGAACAATTAAATTTGCTTTTTACGAAAGAAGCGATACCAAGGATTTGAAAGGTATTTCTGGCACCTATCACATCAATTGGAAAATATTTATAATTTTAAGATCTTTATATTTATATTTAAGTATTTGCAATTTCTAGTTTTACAAAATTTTAAATTAAAAAAATCACATTTGATGAATGACATCACAATGAGCGAATGTCATGTTTACTGTGCTTACAAAAATCATTTATTTCTTAATTTTACTTTCACTCACCATTGTTTCCCACCACCATAAACCTTTTTATACACTTTTAATATCCATTTACGGTTATTATAAATTATTTTTAATATCAAAGTAATAGTACAAAATAGTCTTCCGTAATAATATTTTATTTAGCGTTTTATTTCTTCTTTATTAAACAAATCGAAATTAAAATATTTAGTCCACTATTTGAGGTAAACATTATGTCACACCTTAACACCGTTCAAAGACGCAGACAAAGTACATCACGCAGGTCAAAAGGGAATAATTACATCAAAAATACAAAGTACAAAGGGCTCGCGCGTTGCTAATAAAAGTGCGTGAAACATTCGATGGCGAATTAATTTATGTTATAATACGATTCGTTGTCGCACACGTCAAGGGACGTCACCGCACAAATTCTCGCGAGTTTTCAGCTGTCAGTGTGAAGTTTAGAGGTTATTCGTTGTGTATGGCACGTCACTTTCGTTTTAGTAAACATGGCAGCGTTAGTGGGCAACAGATGACGGGGCGCGGGCGGGCAGGCCTGCGCCGGGGTCGCGTTCATCTCATCTCGACACGGGTACCGCGCGGCCGCGCTCAAGTCAGAAGTGGCGGGCCGCGGGAAACTCCGCGGGGGCGCCACTGTGCGATGTCCTCGCGGAATGGAAAGAAGGCTCCTCTCGCGAGTCCTCCTTTCCGTCGATAAAGCAGCGCTTTCGGGTCGCTGCGAGAGGGAGACGCCGAAACTACGCGCGAATCGATTGGCCGATGGAAATGGGCGGGGAGCGAGCACGTGGCGGTGTCTTTTGTGACGAGCGGCCCGTACTTTCTACCCTTTGTGCTGTTGTTACGCTTCGCTTTCTATGAATGTTCACGGCAGCGCTATTGTTGACAAGTTTATTCGCACTAACACTAATAGCGATTTGAATAATGTAGTCATATTAATTCTAATTTAGATATATAAAACTTACTTAACTTAGCATATCGTGAAGTTATTTGTGCGATAAATTTAAACATAAATACTGACCTGTCTGTGTGCTGGAGTCGAAGAATGTGCTCGTAGTCTCAACGGTCATGGTGCCGATGGTGCCGTCCAATATTTGGGTTGAAGAGTCCCGGCGGCCTCTCGCACGCATACAAGCGTCGTCGCTTTGAGAGCTTTGCCGTCTGAAATTGCGACAGCGTATCATTTCCTCGGTGGTAGACTGGCGGCGAAAGCCACGTGCTATAAGTATTTCCTCCGTGGTCGACTGCCGTCGGAATATCGTCCGTTCGGGAGGACGTGCGCATGGACTAGGGTCTCGGCTTGAACACGAGCTCGATTCCGGACTGCGGGCGCGACCCATGCGAGCGCAGGAAGCTTGCCTCCTCAATCGGCTCCTGCGTCTCGCCGCTGATGGGCTCAGTTCCCCGCCTCCTGCGCGATCCGGGCTCAGCTGGTTCCGTTCACGCCGTGGTCGCGCTGCAGAATCGGGACTCAAAGAGTCCCTCCTAGCACGTCCTTCATCATCAGGCCCTAAAGAGGGACCGGAGTCGCGACGCCTGGTTCCCGGCGGTCCAGTGGGGTCGTCGAAAGCGGTAGCTTGCCTTTGTAATCGTCCAAGTCTCCGTTCGGGGCTAGCAGCCGCCCGAGAATCCCTACGGGCTCGTCCACATTGAGTGGTCGAATCTCTGCGGCCACCCATGTTTGGAGGTGACTTCCCACTTGGTGTGACTTGTGTTCCTTGAGTAGTCGCTGGCGTCATTTGAGACGCTTGAGTTGTTTGTATAGTACTAGTACTAGGTGTGGTCGGCGATGTCGGCGAAGGGGTCACTGCAGACGTTATTATCGTTGGCATTGTCATAGGTTGGTATTCACCATCAGATCGACTCGGTTCATGCACTGCTACAATGGTTACGGCCGGGGGTTGTGTTGATGGTCCGGGGTCAGACGAAGCGTCCACAAACGACGGCGGCGCCGGGGTTGGCGGTGAAGCTCTTCTTTTCTTATGAGCAGCAATTATTCGCGGTGGCGGGGCAACTACAGAATCACGTCTATGGTGGCGATGGCCGTCTACTGAATCTCTGCGGTCCTTATCGTCACCAGAGCTGCGCCTTTTAAAGCGGCGGTCTCGCGACGGCATCACCGTTGTCGAATCTTTTCGATCCCACGTTGGGAAATCTGCGCGGAAGTCTTGCGGCGCGGCCTTCGAATCGCGCCGCTTGGAAGCCATCGACTTTATGCCGGAGTCGGCGGAGGAATCTCGCCGGCGGCGTGGGGGCGGCTCATGGCGGGCCCAAGGCAGCGAGCGCGCCAGGTCTGCTAGCGTTTCGCGACGTGACAGCGGCGCTCGCTGGCGGCGCGGTTGACTGCCGCCGCCACCCCATTCTCGCAGTATATCGGTCAGTTGGGCCAGTGAAGACCGGCGACGACGAGGGCCTCCTACAAAACCAATGACAAATCACTCAATGCCACTCTAAAATGAGTTCTATAGATACTGGTTAGTTAAAACTATCAAACCTCGTGGCTGATCGGCAACATCCGGTTCGGGCGGTGAAAGGCAAGAGACTTGCGCCGCTGAGTCTCTGCGACTGCCTAGGCGTTGCCTCAGTGTGGACTCTTCTAAGGTGGAGCGCGTTAGTTCGTCCCAGCCGTTCCCGCCGGCCCATACCAGGCCAACTTGGTGGGACAATATCGGCAGGTTGCACACGAAACATATCGCGGTCATCGTCCTGGTGAGAAGGGAAAAATACGTTAGCAATATAATATTGGATGAAACGTTCAGGCCGACGCTACGAGTGGAATAACTGCCAAAGCAATCTAGTTCTGCTTCAAAAAACTCACGCTTTATTGTTACGAAAATACGTGTAGGGATACATGTCGGCGTCCAGTTGCGGTCTGTTCGGCGTACAAAGCGTAAAGCCCCATATCGCGCCCTTGTTTTCGCATCACCGGCCTGATAACCGAACTAGCGGCTCGATATTAAGTAATAACCACTCCCATGCTTGTCAATTTGTTGTATCAAATTACCGATAGACGATTGCGTTTTGTCGATGGTAATATTTTCTTACTAATACATGCAGTTCATTTCTATTTCATTCTATATAATATTCAATTTCATGGGATGCTATGAAAGTCTCGGTTCGCATGAAGCCCTTCAAGTTTTCAATGAACAAATATATATCGTAATTCATGTATTTGCTGCGTTGGATTGGAATATCTAGTTTGATTAGATAAGGCTTATCGGCAGCGGTTCCGGATATTTGCGTATTATTTTCAGAGGTACAACTACTGAATATAGATGGAAAACGTATTGATGACACAAAGCCTTTTCATGACGTTTGATAGATAAAGCCTATCTATTGCTCTACAGCTGAATAAATTCAAATCCGTCATCGTCTAGAAACGTTTTGGCTGTTGACAAATCAATGTTATTATTTGTTGAAATGGAAATTGAACATGTTCATTGAACGTGGCATAATGTGTTCAGTGAAATTCTATTATGATTTGTGCGCTTCTAAGTATACATACTGCACGAACATCCATTTAACGGTTTTTTAAATTTGTTTTATAATGGTTAATTATCATTAAAGTGTAAATATTCAAACGTATCTACATCAAATTTCATAACGTTGCGTAGATTACTTACTATTCGATTGTTTTAGGACGGACGGCATTGTAGTTGTAACAAAATGAACGAGAGCAACGGATGTTGTGAATATATTTCAAATGAGTCGATTTATTTTATTACTGCTTTAATTTAATTACTCACCAAATCCTGTTAATTTTGAGTTTGTGAGCTACTCGATAGCTACTTCTATATCTATTTGTCGTAACTAAATCTACTTACCTTTTAAGAATCTTGACATTAACCTAATTCTAGTTTTATGATTGTGTGTCATATAAACATGTTTGTATGTGTTTGTCGAATAAATCAGATAACGAATGAAGCTTGTGCAGAAAAAACTTGAAGCGATGTTATTTTGTGATTATTTTTTTACTTTCATTATTGCGTATCTCTCTCCAATGAGAGATGTTTCCAATGAAACAGAGCCCATGGAATAGCTTCAGTCTTCATAAATGTAAGGACCTTTTCAAGCAGGTGTTTGTTTATGAAAATGGATGTGTCTGACTGTCGTAAGATGAAAGCTCAAACCATGCTGCTATGTGGAAAATTTTCGAAAGAGTTTTGTATCAATATTAGATAAAAGTGCTAGCATGCTAGGGCGTTATTGGGACCTGTAATGACGCAGTCGAGGTGAAGGGGATTGAGGCATGACGAAAGCCGGGGCATTGGGGTCAGGGCAGGGCGCTAACTCGGATAAATGCCGACACAGAATATCACATCAAACACTTTGAACATCTGAAACAATTAGTAAATTAATACAATTAGTCAAAACAAGAAAGAAAGCAAAGTTAAGCTCAAATTTTGCGGGGTGTTTGTAATTTTATGTGTATTTGGTAAGTATATGAATTGTTATGTTTTATTACTATGAAGAATTTTCAAATTAACCTTAACTATGAAGAAAGTACGTAAATGATTTCCTTTCGTTTAATTTTAAAAACAAAATATTTGTTGTCAGACTATAAGTGACATCTATAAGAAAAGGTTTTCAAATTCTCTTCGTTTCTTTAGTATTTCATTGAACCAATAGATGGCAATACTTGTGCTCAGAGTAACAGTTTTTCAGCATAGAAGTTCTTTCACACGACACAGATGGCGTTTTTTGCGTTACCTGTATATCGGAATTAAATAATGTTATGAATATACATTATTAATCAAGTGTGCGTTAAAAAGCGAATATGGCTTTAATCATGTGTATAAAAAATGTGACAAAAAGGTCAATTATTTTTATTGTATTAATCTATAAACAATACAACATGGTAGGTAAAATTATCTCAGTGAATATAATGACAGGAATGAATGCTACTGGGATTTGAATTTGTGAACAATTATATTATATACAAAAATACGAGGTAGATAAATAGTGTCATACTAGCGCACCGAAATCGAGGCACTCAAATGACACCAATTGGTGTAATTAGGTATCAATTCTATAAACTGCTTTCTCTTTCCGTATCGTACGTATCTATATCATCTGTCACATTCACTTATATATGTTATAATGTAAAGCGGAACAATTTTGAAGTGAAACTTCTACTGCGACTTCGAACAAGGTTACGTTAAACGTTTAACGCTACCATGGAGGGGGTATGAAAGTACTGTTGCGTTAAACGTTCAACGATCCTGGAGAGGGGGAATAGAAAGAGACGGAGCGAGAGTGAATGTGGGGGACTCGAAGTTTCACTTCTTTCGCGCGGAGGGACTCCACGCATTATTATATTTTTTAAACGCCGTGCAGTATATTATTAAACATCATTGTCTGAAGTGTCACTTCAGAGGCCTCAGTGGCATAGAATAAAAATATTTTCTTATTGTATGAAACAAAAATAAATTATTTATTTAAAGATAGTGTAAGCTTGAAAGAGAATGAATTAAAGACAGATTGCTTTTAGGGATTGTCAAGAACATGTTAAAAGTGTTTTAATGTTTCTAAGCTCTTTGCAATGGAGGTACCATTAAGCGAGGCGCATTTCCATTAACTCTATTTTTTCGACTTTTTCGTTAGATAGAATTCAATCCCGCATTGGAAAAATGATTAATGTATACCTTTTAGTTTATTTGCAATGAACGTCGAAGACGGTCTACTCTGCATACGACGTTGTCTAGTAAATGGATTCTCCTCTTTGATCTTCTTATCACATATAATTAAAATGAATGAGTGCTCATTCTTCTCAATTTTACTTGCAAGTTCTTTGTCTTTTAGTGTTAAGTTCAGAACAGTTATTGCTATACGTCTGCGACTGGCAATAGTTTCTCATTTATAATTGTTTTGTATTTTAGGTCCAGCCAGTTAATAGCTCGTGGTAAATTCAGTATAACTACGTTAGTAGAGTTCAAAATCAGTAATCCACATAAACCTCCTTATAGTGTAATTTTTTTAGATTAATTTAGAAGTTTTGTATAAACAAGTAGGATACGAATAAGACTGGAAGGACATCAGATTCGATTAAAACCGCATAGCTTTTAAAAATGAATGCTTACGCAGTATACATATACTTTCATTTCGAGCGCTTTAAATGTTTGTTATTTTTAAAAGGGTCTCTGAATAAACGGGGAATGTTGTCCAATTTAGATTGAGTTTTGATTGATGGGGACGGGTAAACTTTGGAATGAATTTTCGATGAAGCCTACCATGTTCCGAGTTCACTTAGGTCCTTTTTCTGTAATATAAATCTGAAATGGGCTTAGAATATCTAAAAATATTGTAAATAAGTTTATTACATAATTGTACATATTAAGAACCTTTTGTGCATATTTCATACTTTAAAAAACGTGTACTGTAATCCGGTGTCATGAAATGCTCAAAGAAATCCGTTAAACTATTTAGTTTTTGGATTTCATTTTAACCTCAAACAGGGTCCTCCGTTGTTCAATATTTGAAAATGTTTATGTTTTTTACTTAAACCTAATTAGTGTTGTTGAAAGAGAGAACATTTGATAACGGCAATATTCTACAAATAAAATTGAATATAAAAAATCTACATAGACAAAAAACCTAAATCAAGCTGTCTTATTGCATTAACCATCCATTGAGTGAACAAAACAAAAGCCGTCAGCATGTGTGCCAAAATAAAGGATAACTCCCAGAAGCATTCTTTTGTTTCAGGTATCGGAATTCCATCGCTAATTTAAATTGAAATTGGTATCGCATAACCAACCCGCTTTCGTACCTTCAGTGAAAATTATCGCTAACAAGCAAATTTCATCCCCAATTCACAATATCTGGTTACATGCCAGACGCTTGTGCAATGTTATATCGTAATTACAAAATGCACCGCTGTACAGAAGTGAGTTTGATTCAAGCACGTCAAAGTAATGAATAGATTTAAAATACGGTAAGATATATTTCCGTTAGCATTGCAGTTGAATATAAATTAGCGCTTCCTAAAAGTTATTTAATAATAAAAGGATGAGAAACAATGTGATAACACGTTTTTATTTTAGTACTAATGTTAAGTGCTCACATTTATCAAGTACTAGCGACCCGCCCCGGCTTCGCACGGGTGCAATGTTATTATACATCGTTCGTCTTGAATCACTCTATCTAGTAAAAAACCGCAAGATACGTTGCGTAATTTTAAAGATCTAAGCATATATAGGAACAGACAGAAAGCGGGACGACTTTGTTTTATACTATGTAGTGATATATAGGGTTGATTTTACACACGCCAACACACCTTTATCGATTTTTATGAAAGTTGCCTATAGTGTAACGGAGTTAGTTATACGTTACTCCGTTTTTCTGTTACACCTTTTTCTTTATCACGTTTGGCTGAGATTCTAATCGAAGTTGAATAATTAACGGAACATCGAAATATCACACATTGATAATCACAGGTAAAGCTGAATCAGAGGCTATTTTTACCGTCCTGCATGACTCACGTGTGCTGCATTTACTTATAATAATAAAGTACATTTTATTGAAGCTACGTTTATAATAATTACAGAAAACACTTTTTCAGTATGCACCTTTTCAATTGAATTCGTATTTTGTACAATGACTGAAAGCATAAAACTGTAATTTTAACGGTGAGAGGTATTGTACGATGGATATTCAATATTAATATTCCACGAATTCATTTCATGAGATTGCACTAATGAACGATAATATTTGTACTACATCAGATTCAATACAAAAGGACTTTCAACGGCTCTTCGGTATTGATTTTCAGATATTTCGACATTAAGTAGGTGTTCTATTAGATTTATATTTCATAAGCGATTTAACTTTTTTATAAATTATACTTATGGCTAGTTTGCCAGTCCAGCATATGAAAATGATTTATTTGTGATGTATTTCAAATAAATGAGCCGTGATAGCTCAGTGTCCGGGCGCTCGCCTTTAATTCAATATATACTCGAGCAACCTGAGTTCGATCCTCGGTGCGATGTATAGGCTGTTACTTTTTTTTTACTTTTTCAAATAAATCTTTAAAAAAATTAATGTATAAATTATTTAATGTATACATCGTTTTGATTTATCTGGGCCTAGCGAACAATCTACAAAACATTTAGTGCGCCAAATACGTGTCTAATTTTATTGCAGAGGCAATTTTCTGAATCCGTGACGTTTTCAAGGTATTGACTTCGACTTCGGGGTTCGTGGGTTCGATTCTCACACGAGACAACCATTTGTATGACTAGATGACCCACAGGTAATTGCTTCGGATCTGAGTGTTTGTTCACGTGATATTTGAATATGTAAAACGTCCTTATAACACAGGATCATGTTATCCTACAGTAAGGGGGCCATGTCTTTGAAAAGAAGGCTAAAATAGATTCCAGATCGGAGTGGTCGTTGGGACGTCTAACCCAAACCCCTTCCGCACAAAATACAAATACAAGAGGAGGCGACGAAACTTAAATGCTATCAGCAGTTATTGGGATTAAACATAAATAAGTCACATGAATTCGATTTAATAAAAATTTATTAGCCGTTAATTACGACGATATTTACACCATGCGATGTTAAATATTACTGGGTATTTATAATTTGAATTAGAATATTATTCAATTTAAAGGTTGTGTCTCGGACTGTACATGGTAACGTCACACATGCCTAGTAATCTGTTGTAACTGCCATAAAAAAACCTCTTTTACTTAACAGAGTGTACACGCAATGGATCAAACCAGTAAAAAGATATGGTTACTTGCTACCTGCATTATCGAATTTCTTACTGGGAAACGGTTAACGCAATATTCATTTTCCTCCTGATCGCTGTTTCAGTTTTATGGGCCCATTGATATCGTTTTCTAAAGCTCGAGGCGAGAAGGTAACAGAATATTACTCGTTATTTTATCTTTGCAACACTCACATTTTCTCTACTCAGCCTCCGAGCGGCTTCTCTTTGATTTTGCACTTCACCGGCACGTCGCTACATCATAGGCGCTATAGGCTAAATGGAGTAACTCTTTTATTCTTTAGAACTTGCTTTTTAGGGTTCCTTACACAAAGGGTAAAACGGGACTCTATCACTAAGACTCCACTGTCTATCTCTGTCTGTCGTCTGTCACCAGGGTGTATTTCATGAACCGTGATAGTTAGACAATTAAAATTTTCACAACTGATGTATTTCTGTAACCATTATAACAAAAATACTAAAAAAAACAGAATAAAAAATATTTAGGGCTCTCATACAACAGACATGGTTT